AAGAATCAGCGAATCAGACTTATTCCGCAAAATTTTAGATTTCGAATGCGAAGAATCAATAGTTTTATAGATCGGAAACCGTTGAATACAATTCCTTTTTACAATTTTGAATATAAAGCAAATGAGAAATTAAGTAAATAGAGAAAATCAATGATGAAATAAGTGCAAATAACAAGGAAACAAGTTCACTAAGTTTTTTTAAAAGTTTTCAAAAAAATTATATAATTTTGATGTAAAGTGAAATAAAACAGCCATGGAAGCGAATTGTGTCATAAATTGCAAAAAAAATCAAATTTCTAATGAAGGTTCAGAAACTACTGGAATTTTATAGCAAAAATCTGTCGAAAACAATTTAGCTTCGATTGATAAGAAAAAAGGACAAATTTGCGAAACGAAAATAAAAAAATCACCCTTCTACGAAATGTCACTTTCATTTATTTAATCGACAATATATGATATAACTGAAAGAGTGATAAGAAATGATAAAAAAATTTTGCAATAAATGGTAATAACAAACAATAATTGATCACAAGAAAAATTTAACGCACATTTTTCTTCTGAAAGCCCTCGTCATTACTGGTTAGACTTGCTCCGCTGACTTGTCGCACTGGACCAATATATTAAGGAGTCACTCGATAGAAGTACAGATGAATCGCCAATATCACTCGGATTTTTGAACAGGTTTGCATCTGCAGGCAACCTCACCATCCGCGCTTCGAATTGAGCAACAACCCACTAAGCCATTTTACTCTTCCATTTAACTTCCACTTCAGCAAACGTATGGCTATATGATATGGTATACTACGTATGACTACTTCATTATTTATTTGTTGAGTCGTCCCCAAATAAAAGTCAAAAAAATGAATAATATTATAGTTCTGTTAAAAATTGTATTTAAAATATTAAGAAAATTAGATAAATAATAACTACATTCTATAATATATTTCTAAGAATTGATCAATAAAATTATTATTAATTATTAAAATTTTTTTACTTTTATTTTATTTTTAATTCGAAAAAATAGAAATTTTTTTAAAAATTTAAATAAAAACAATAAAAGTTAAATAAAAATAAAAAAAATTTAAATAAAAACAATAAACAATAAACAATAAAAACAAAAGTTTATTTCAACATTTTTGTCGTAAAAAATTTTTTTTCAATTTTTTTTTAAATTTTTGTTTCCGAATTCAAAACTTTCATTCAATTTCTTCAAATCTGAATTTATTTTTCCTAAAAATTAGAAATTAATTGTGCATTTTCATTTCCTCACATTCCTCGTTTCCAATATGTACAGCAACCCATCTTTATTTTCTTATTAGTTGTAAAAATGAAGGGCACAGCGATGAGAATATCAAAATTTTACATTGCTGTTCTTTAAAACATTTGTTCATATACTCTAACTAACTAAACTAAATAAATATTGAAAAATATGTAAGATCTGTCGAGGAATAATTGAATATAAAATAAAAAAATACAAACCATCTTTATATTACATTAATTATATTATGAGAAATTATTTAAATATATATATATATATATGTTAAAAATTCGAATACCAATATGCTACCCTTTTCTGGATAATCGTTGGATGAAACAATGGATATCAGCTGATAAAATAATATAATGGATAGCCAGTGGATAAAAGATAAAGTTTATATACTAAATATATATATATTTATAAAGATAAAGTTTAAGTTAAGTTTATATAAGTTTATTTTATATTTTATTTCAATCATTGTTTCATTAATTTTTTAATCAAATTCTATGACCTTCAAGCAGCCGAGAAAAGATAAAGTTTGATTTCTTGCCAATATTTTAAATATTTGCTTCATTGTTGATTGTTCAATGGTTCTGTCATCTTCATTTCAATATTACTGCCGCAGATTATTGCCGAATGTGCAATTGGTAAGATATGCTGTACAAATAAAATCGGCTCTTTTCAACGATATTTGTTTATATTTGTTTATCAAATTTTTAGCCATAAAAAAAATCACCACGATTATGCCCGATTGCATGGATTAACAAAGAAAATTAGTTCATTATCGTAGTATTATCCACGCTTGCTTGTGGAACACTCGAACAGATAAGAAAAGATCCTAAAAAAGGCAATGAAGACAAAAGGCAAAGACAGACAAAAAAAAGTGCCAATATATTCAAAATGAAAATAAATTCATTTGTAATAAGAATAAATTCTGCTTGGATATTAAAAATCCTAGTGGCAAAACCAAGAACTTATAATATTAAATAAAATTCTCTAAAAATTTTTTATCTTTATAGCTCTATTAATAGACGTTTTTTTAAAATTACCATTACCAGAATTTATATTTAATGTTTATATATATATAATAAATGCGGTATATAAATGATAAAAATTGAGATGTATGAGAATTTTCAACAAAGAGAACGAGTATATAAAATAATTCAGAGAAATATGATATGCAAATGATAGATGTTATCAATCTCTATTCCTGCAGAACCAAGCAGTTGGCTTGCCATCTATAGCTCTTTTCCAGAGTGTCCCCTTAGCGTAATTCCATCGCACTTGCAATCAGTGGAAGCTTGAAGGGAAAATTGTTGAAAAGTTATGCCTCCATCTTTCAAACGATTCTTTAGTATTCTATCGTACTCGTAGCCAGTGGCCAAATCAGATAAGTGTTAGAAAAAGAACATGAAGCATGCTAATTACTACAAACGAAGTTTATGATAGTAGAATTATCATGTCTTCTAAAATTCTTTTAAAAATATTGTTCTTATAACAGTTAATTATATATTTCGAATGCCTTTTAATCAGTTATTTTAATTTAATTAATTTTGATAATTTAAATCGAAGATTTGAAGAGCATCAATTTTTCTTTTTTGTAAATTTTCTATCCTTTCAGCATTTTTATTTCTCGTACAATCCAATTGAAAAAAACGAGAAAAATTTTTGATCAGAGCGAAAATCGCTAAGATAGTCGTACTATTAACTACTGGAACAAATTATCGAACGATGTAGCTTGTGCGTCATCCTTAGCTGTCTTTAAAAAAGACTAGATAATATCATTTACGATATTATTTAAAAACAAAAAAAAAGAGAAGAGTTTACACCAGGCAAGAACTGCAGGAAGTGAGAAATCTCGATTTTTATCTTCAGGTTATATATGTTAGTTCGAATTGTACTATATTATATTGATCTGTAATTTCCTCTTTAAATTGTCAATTTTTGTCATATTGTTTTATAATTAATTTTGTTTATGTTATTTTTTTTTGTATTTTCTTTCTGACAAGCACATGGCCCTGTTGTCGCCCTGCTTGGCTGGTTATCAATAAATAAATAAATAGTGGTATTATTTGATAAAATCAACAATTAAGCAACATTAATTACTGCTAAATAACGAATCTGAGTCTAGAAAACAAGATGTTTTGTAACAGCATTTTTTACCTCTTAGATAAAACCTATAGCCGTAATTCATTCGCAGTTATTGTCTCCGATTTCTCTGAAGACGAAAACCTAACTAAATCGCAAAAAAAACTAAATATTTATATTAAAGAATGCACTACGGCAAAAATTAAAATTTCATTTTCATACAAACAAAAAACTATTTTCTAAGGGAAATAAATAAATATATAAAATAAAATAAATAAATATATATTCAAATAAAAGAATTATAGTTAATTATCATGAAAGCAGAATGCAACAGTGGGATTTCGAAGCACCGATGCCCGGAGCATTTTTTCTTGAGTAAGAATGAACCTGCCTTCCAAAAATCCAGATGAAGCCACTTAGCCACTTAGCTCTATTTATGTCACCAAATGACTGAATCTCCGGTAAAATTTATCTGAACCAACAAACGAATCGAATCAGATTAATGCTTTAGAAAAAAAGGTTAGTAAAAGGTTAGTAAAATTATAGCACTTCTTTTCCATTTTCTTTATCGATATAACATATTTCGATAGAAACATCTCCAAAAACTAAACGACTTATATTATTATTTATTTTAAGTTTGTTTTTGAAAATTTTCTGGAAGGTGTTAGAAAATAAAGTTGAATTGAGTTACGTAAAATAAGACGATGGACGAACGGACGGAGGGGGAGTTATAGAATAGAAATAATCGCCGATAAATAAATAGTTAAAGAGATTCGATACTAAAAGTTATAGAAAGAAAACGAAAAAAAATTGAAAAATATAAACGATGAAACTTAAAGAGCGAATCAAGAGAGGAGCACGGCGGACATAAGTTTAAACTGTTTTTATACTAAATACTCTTCGTTGAAGCGAAAAGGATCCAGCTGTGATACAGCTGCCTACATCAAGATCCCACTAAATATAACGAAATTTTATAGTGTAAAGTATTCAACCGATTGACTACAGCAGTCAATAATCCGTTTAGCGTTGCCAAGAGTCGTCGTTTGTTCCTCTTCATCATGGAATACGAAAGCGATCCTGGATGGCAGTATCTGAGACAATCTCGCGAGCAAATGATCGCCGTATGAATTTTGTTCTATTTTTTTCAGGCTTTTTATTTTAGGTTTTGTTTGGTATAGTTTTTAAGGAATTCATATTGCATAATTTTGTAATATTTATGTTTTTTATTTTATTTTATTTATTTATAACAACCATTATTTTGATATATTACCTATTTTTAATATTTTCGATATTAAATAATATTGCATTGTAAAAAATGGTAGAATGATAACGATAGAATGATAATGATTGCAAATGATAACAATTCATAAAAATCAGCAAATTTCTATTATTAAATCTATTTTAAAGGGTAATATAGGAAAGGATAAGGATAATATAATTAAAAAGATCATCGAATATTAAAACAACGCTGTTGGCTGAAATTCTATGTACATATTGCGATAAAAAGTTTATCCAGTGATAACCTGTTAAAAAACATAAATGATTGGTGAAATAGCTATATGATTCCAAAGGCTTCAAAATTCTGAACTCTTAAGTTTTTTTAATGGATAGTAAGATAGACAGTTATGTCTTAATTAAATGATATACGGATTTAATGATATATACTATTTTAAAGGATCAATCGAAACCCTACGACTCGAAAAAAAATGTTTGGGTTCCCGATGCAGAAGAAGGATATATTGCAGCTGAGGTTAAAGCCACTAAGGGCGATATGGTTAGCTTGGTAACTTGCCGAGGAAATGAGGTTTCAATTTTATTACGCGAAGAAACCATTCAAAAAAATATAAATTATTTTGAAGAACTGATAACCGTCAGCAGTATAATTTAACAAAAGTCTGTCTTTAATTCAATGAAATAAAGCGATAGACAAAATCATACCATAGGAAATAAATTGAAGATAACGTTGAAAGCTGAACTTGTACAAGAAATGAATCCACCTAAATTCGAAAAAACTGAAGATATGTCGAATCTGACTTTTTTAAACGATGCATCAGTGCTACATAATTTACGAGCCCGATATAGCCAAATGCTCATTTATGTAAGTCATTGATAATTTCATGCATCGATAAAATATTATATTCGTTTTTCATATTCATTTGAAATAGAATGGTTCTTGAAATTTCTAACGATTCTAAAAATTATGCCTATTTTCTAAAATTTTCATAACAGATTCAAATCTAGAATTTTTTCGATTTAAAAATTCCTGAAAGATCCTCAAATAAATTTCCAGACATATTCTGGATTATTCTGTGTTGTTATTAACCCATATAAACGTCTACCAATTTATACGGATTCTGTCGCACGTATGTTCATGGGAAAAAGGCGAACAGAAATGCCTCCACACTTATTTGCTGTTTCCGATGAAGCTTATCGTAATATGTTAATTGATCATGAAAATCAATCCATGTTAATCACTGGTGAATCTGGAGCTGGTAAAACAGAAAACACAAAAAAGGTAAACTAATTTGTCGAAACCAATAAAACCAAATTTTGGACGTTTTCTCATCATACCTACTATGTATTCTAGGTTATTGCTTATTTCGCAGCTGTGGGTGCTTCACAACAAGAAGCAGCAGCAGCAGCAGGTACAGCTCCACAACCACAACAAGAAGGAAAAAAAAAAGTTACATTAGAGGATCAAATTGTTCAAACCAACCCTGTACTCGAAGCTTTCGGTAATGCAAAAACTGTGCGAAACAATAATTCATCTCGATTTGGGAAATTTATACGAATTCACTTCTCAAAGAAAGGAAAAGTTGCTTCTTGTGACATCGAGCATTGTTAGTTATTTGTTCTAAACAACTTCGAATAATATAAAATAATATAAAAATAAAAGCTAAACTAAAATAAATAAGAATGGAAGAAGTGACCACAATTTTATGAAGCAGCTTAGATTTTCTAATATAGAATAGCCCAGTAGGTTGTTGTTCTCATATCAAAGCACCGAGATTTTCTATTCTCACAAACCTGTCGTTCAAAAATCCTAATGACCCACCTCTACTTTTCCACTTATCACCAAATAACAAATAACTTTCTGATTTGTCTAATTCGATAAGCCAGTGGAGTGAACCAGAAATAGTGAGCCCTCTTTAAAAAAAAATTTCTAAATTTGTAATTTATAGATTTACTCGAAAAATCACGAGTCATTCGACAGGCTCCAGGCGAACGTTGTTATCATATTTTCTATCAAATTCACTCTGATTATCTGCCTAATTTAAAAAAAGAGCTCCTATTAGATAAGCCACTGAAGGATTATTATTTCGTTGCACAAGCAGAATTGACGATCGATGGTGTTAACGATAAAGAAGAACATCAACTTACGGATGAAGCCTTCGATATTCTCCACTTTTCGGCAGAAGAGAAATTAAATTGCTATAAATTAATATCAGCAATGATGCATATGGGTAATATGAAATTCAAGCAAAGACCTCGAGAAGAACAAGCTGAGCCAGACGGGACAGATGAAGCTGAGAAAGCTTCTGAAATGTATGGCATTAGTCATGAAGACTTTCTGAAGGCTTTAACAAAACCTCGTGTAAAAGTTGGTAATGAATGGGTCCACAAGGGTCAAAATATTGATCAAGTTACCTGGGCTGTAGGTGCTATGGCCAAAGGTTTATATTCAAGAATTTTCAATTGGCTTGTAAAGAAGTGCAATATTACCCTCGATCAGAAAGGCATTCCTCGAGACTATTTTATAGGTGTTCTCGATATCGCAGGTTTCGAAATATTCGATGTAAGAATTTACATCTTATTTTACAATTTTAAAATTTTAAAATGAAGGAAAATGGTTATGAAAATTAACTAGCGAAATAATTGCGTTTCAATCTTAAAAGTTTCTTCCACCTCACCACTCGTCTTCCAACGGTTCGTGGCAATGCCGGTTTGGCTGATTCTGACTTCGTTATTAAAATAAGACATGTCTAAGTGTTTCGCTTTAATACCAATCCTAAAAATTGGAAGTTTTTAATAATAGGCAGTCTTTTTCATTGAAAAATATTTGAAATTAACTATAAATATCATAATTTGCAGTTTAATTCCTTTGAACAATTATGGATCAATTTTGTAAATGAAAAACTTCAACAATTTTTCAATCATCATATGTTCGTCTTAGAACAAGAAGAATATGCTCGAGAAGGTATTCAGTGGACGTTTATCGATTTCGGCCTTGACTTACAAGCTTGTATTGAACTTATTGAAAAACCACTCGGAATTATTTCGATGTTAGACGAAGAGTGTATTGTGCCGAAAGCTACTGATTTGACTTTAGCACAAAAACTCAATGATCAGCATCTTGGTAAGCATCCGAACTTCGAGAAACCTAAACCACCGAAAGGAAAACAAGGCGAAGCACATTTTGCAATGAGGCATTATGCTGGTACAGTACGATACAATGTAATGAACTGGCTTGAGAAAAATAAGGATCCTCTAAACGATACTGTTGTTACCGTAATGAAGGCATCGAAAAGCAACTTATTGCTTAACGAAGTCTGGCAAGATTATACAACCCAAGAAGAAGCAGCTCAACAACAAAAAGGTTAATATCAGCAAAATTTTCCGGTCTTAGAAAAAATTTTGAAGATTTTTACAAGGTAGTTCTCTCGAAAAAAAACGAAAGAAAAAAAATAAAGAAATATTTATTTATTTATTTATATTTATATATTTAAGAAATTATTATATTTTAAAGTGGGAGAATAATATGGAATAATACGGAATATATGGAATAACAAGGGTTCGAATCGCAGCCAATTCTCTCTTTCCGGTGAGGGTCCTTAAGCGAGACTCTCTGAAAGCTTATCTGTATCTCAGTCCTCAGAACTCGAAGTTGAGGGTAACCCATATCACCCACTGGGGATGAGAGATTTTTTATTTGCAGGTCTCGAGGGAATTCTTCGTCCAAATAGACAAATAAGTGCTGGCCAATTAACCAAATATCATGGTAGTAGGCCACTTCAAGAATTAGAATTAGAAATGAGTACTGGTGATATAGCAATACCACGAACCTTAGGAGGAAGAAATATGAGAAGCTAGAGAAATACCAGAGGCTGAAAGAGGAACTGGAGAAAATATGCAAAGTGAAAGGGGTATAATCCATAAACTAAAAGTGGCATCAACAGATTGAAAAAAATAGCATCAGAGATTTCTATTCAGAAGAGAGCACTGCTAGGAATCCATAATGCGCAGAACTCTCAAGCTCCCATTCTTCTGGTAAAGGTTGAGGATAAATCTTCCCACACGTAGGAATCGAAGAAGGAATTGAAGGGAAAGGAAGGGGTTTACGAATTAAAAATATTAAATATATTCGCTGAGTACAAATTTATTGCGCATTATTATTTCTATTCGAGGGGATAGCACCAAGTCATTGTAGTTGAACTGAAAGTCTAAGTAATAGATGTATTGAAGACTTAGTATACTTCTCTCTATTGTCGCCCTATCACTCTGAACTTATTTATTACATTTCATGAGAAACTAGTGTAGTAGTAATAAAAAAGTTAAACCTGGATTAATGAAGTGAATTTATTACAGATTCTTTGTGGTAAAATGGATTCATAAATTATAATATCTATAATATTTCGTCTATAATACACTTTTAGAATAGAATATTCAATATTTCAAATAAATAAATATGACTTATAGATGGTGGAAGTGGAAAGAAGAAGGGAAAATCCGGTTCATTCATGACAGTATCAATGCTCTATCGAGAATCTCTCAACAATTTAATGAATATGCTCAATATGACCCATCCTCATTTCATCCGTTGTATCATTCCAAACGAGAAGAAACAATCAGGTCTCTTGGATGCAGCGCTTGTATTGAATCAATTAACTTGCAATGGTGTGTTAGAAGGTATTCGAATTTGTCGCAAAGGTTTCCCAAATAGGTAAGTATTGTACTTAAGAAAGAATTACAGAAATATATTAGCTTTTTTGTTTTTTGAAAGAAATAAATAAGACTAGAAAGAGATCTAAAGACTAGAAACCGAAATTACAGAACGTTGCATCCTGATTTCAAACATCGTTATTCGGTGTTAGCCCCAGAGGAATCGAAAAGTTCTTCTGAAGCAAGAAAATGTTCAGAAGCTATTCTCAAGAAATTGGTTAAAGATGGTGTATTAACAGACGAAAATTTCCGAATGGGTGAAACCAAAGTATTCTTCAAAGCAGGTGTGCTTGCACATTTAGAAGATGTACGCGATGAGTGTCTAAAAGCCATCATGACCAAATTTCAAGCATATGTTAGATGGTATTTGGGATTGACAGATCGTAAGCGTCGAATTGAACAAAAAGCTGGCCTTTTAATTCTGCAACGTAATGTTCGTTCATGGTGTTCACTTCGATCATGGCCATGGTTCGTTTTATATACTAAGGTTCGACCCATGCTCAAAGAAGGAAAAATCGCCGAAGAAATGGAGAAATTAACTGATAAACTTAAAGCCCTTGAAGAAAACTTGATTAAAGAAGAAAAACTTCGCAAGGACTTGGACGAAAATTCCAAGAAAATGGAAGCAGAAAAATCTGACCTTTTTGCACAACTTGAAAGCACAAAAGCTGCTCTTATAGAAGCTGAAGCTCGTGTTCAAAATTTAGATTCATCAAAAGCAGAAGCTGATCGCTTGTTAGAGGTAAGGCTTTAATCTCATTAAAAACTGAATGCTCTATATTCTATTAAGGATATTGAAAAGTTTCATCATGCATGCATATAAAAAAATAGGAAAATAGAAATTTACTGGATTATATTCAATCACATTTCTTTTTAGGAACTCAATGAACGCCTTGCTGATACTGAAGATAAAAATACTGATTTAATGCGATCAAAAAAAAAAGCAGAAGGTGAAGTTGACGCGCTTAAGAAACAAATCCAAGATCTAGAAATGAGCGTTCGTAAAGCTGAATCCGAGAAACAATCAAAGGACCATCAAATTCGTTCACTTCAAGACGAAATGCAACAACAAGAAGATACAGTCACAAAATTGAATAAAGAGAAACGAAATCAAGAGGAATTAAATAAGAAAATAATACAAGATTTACAAAGTGAAGAAGATAAATCAAATCATGTGAATAAAATTAAAAGTAAACTTGAACAAACTCTCGAGGATTTTGAAGATAATTTAGAGAGAGAAAGGCGAGCAAAAGCTGACGCTGAAAAAGCTAAACGAAAAGTTGAAGGTGAAATGAAAATCGCGCAAGAAAATATTGAGGAAATAACACGTCAACGACGTGACTTGGAAAATAATTTGAAACGAAAAGAAGCTGAAGTGAACACTTTAGGTAGTCGTCTTGAAGATGAACAATCGTTAATTAGTAAACTACAGAGGCAAATAAAAGAAGCGCAGAGTCGAGTGGCTGAAATCGAAGATGAACTAGAAAATGAGCGTCAATCTAAAGCGAAAACTGATCGTGCTCGATCTGATCTTCAGCGCGAACTTGAAGAATTCAATGAACGTTTAGAAGAGCAAGGAGGTGCAACAGCAGCACAAATTGAACTTAATAAGAAACGAGAAGCCGAATTGGCCAAGTTACGTCGTGATATTGAGGAGGCAAATATGAATCATGAAAGTCAACTAGGAGCGCTACGCAAGAAACATAACGATGCAGTAGCAGAATTAACCGATCAACTTGACCAAATCCAGAAGCAAAAGCAAAAAATGGAAAAAGAAAAAGCACAAACTGTACATAATACCGAAGACTTGGCAGCCCAATTAGATTCGGAAACAGCAGCAAAAATCAGCAATGAGAAATTATCAAAACAATTAGAAGTTCAACTAGCAGATTTGCAAGGTAAAGTTGAAGAGCAAAACAGGCAACTTCAAGATTTTAATTCTATAAGAAATAGATCTTTAAATGAAAATAGCGAACTTATTCGACAATTAGAAGATTTAGAAGAACAAATAGCTGGATTACAACGAGCTAAAACTCAATTATCTAGTCAACTAGATGAAATTCGACAAGCTGTTGATGAGGAAATTCGAGAACGCCAAAATCTTTCTGCTCAAAGTAAAAATATTCAAATGGAAGCTGAACAAGCACAGGCAAATCTCGAAGAAGAAATAGAGTCGAAAAATGAAGCACTTCGGCAATTAAGTAAAGCTAATGCTGAAATCCAGCAGTGGCAATCACGCTTTGAACAAGATGGTATGTTACGTTCTGATGAAATTGAAGAGGCAAAACGTAAACAAGGTGTAAAAATCACTGAATTACAAGAAGCTCTTGAAGCAGCGAATCAAAAAATCATATCATTAGAAAAAGCAAAATCTCGACTTATTGGAGACCTGGATGATGCGCAAATTGATGTCGAAAGAGCTAATAATTTGGCTAGTCAATTAGAAAAAAAACAAAAAGGTTTCGACCTAGTGAGTTTAACTTTTTTCCGCTTCTTCTTCTAATAGCTCTTACCATTACTGGTTAGGCTGGCTCCAACGGCTACAAGGCTTCCAAGCTGCGCGGTCTGATGCCATCATCAGCAATAATAGAAGCCATTCCTTCTTCCATCGTCTAAGTTTATAAATTGCTGGTCCACCTATACGTTCAAAATCTTTCCTGACTATATCAGTCCAGGTCTTGATTGCCCCACCTCGCTTTTGACGCCATCCATCACATGGTTTAGCAAGTAACGAAATATGCATCAACTCCTGTGGTGGACGACGGAGAATGTGCCCTAACCAGCGAAGGCGGCGCTCTGTGATAACATTTTATCCACTCGATGGACCCTAAAATATACCTTAGACAAGACCGGTCAAAAGTAGATAGTTTTTTTAATATCCTCCACTTTCATTGGCCATCTCTCACACCATATAGCAAGATCGAATGAATCACTTGCTACAGTTTCTGATATAGATGTGGAGTTTCGTTTTAATGGTCATTTCACGAAGGCTCCATAAAAATTTCGTCAACCGGAAGAATGCATTTTTAGCTGCCGTGATCCGAGCTATAATATCGTCTTTTGTCAAGCCATTTGGTATTAGAGTGGACCCAGGGTACTTTCTCAACCGGTAATGAATTTACAAAAAGAGGCATTTTATCAGCTTCTTGTATATAAGACGAAAAGACTTTCATTTTGTATGCATTTATCCTGAGTCCGATTCTTGCTGCAGTTTCTGATAAATTATTTAGCATTAATTGCATTTCATCATAACTGTCAGCAAAAAGGACTACATCATCAGCGTATTCAAGATCTGTGATACGATGCTCTGGACTGATTTGGACACCTCTTGACTGTCGGCAAGTGTCCATTATCCGGACACTATCGCATAGTTGAATATTGTAGGGGAAAGGATGCATCCTTGACGGACGGAGTTCTTATTTCGAAGAAGTAAAAAAAAAATTTCTGCCGGTTCCCATATAGCATTCCATCACCCTCCAAAGAGCCTTTCTATCAAAGGCAACCGCAAAGTCGATGAAACACGTGACAAACATGTGACAAGTGGGTTGCAAATATTTGAAGCGATATTCCAACACCTTCTTGTGAATATCTGGCCAGCACAAGCTCGCCCCGATCTGAATTCAACTTGACTAAGACGCATCCTGTTGTCTCGTACTTCCATAAATCTGTTGAGTAAAAGAGAAGTAAAAATTTTCGCTGAGATTTCTAGTAGGCTGATTCCTCGATAATTGTCGCAATATGTCCTATCATCTTTCTTAAGAATTAGGAGCAGAATTGCTTTGCTCCAATCATCTGGTAATATTTTTTTTCCTATACCAAAGAGTATATTTGTTGAAGGTATGCTATGAAGGACAATGGACAATTTAAAGAGTTTAGCCTGAAGACCATCTTCTTCCGGAGCCTTATTGGCCTTAAGCTTATTGATAATAAAGATATATTATTTCTTCTTCTCTCGAAAGACCTGAGGAAACCTGAGGGACTGATCCCGAATTTTTTAGTTTAAGATAGTTTAAGGATCTTGGAAGATCTTGTTTCCTGCGGATCTTGGTTCGAAGTATAACATGGTCAGATCCATGAAGATTGCCGCAATAGGAATGACTATCTAGTACGGAACTCTTCCAACGATGACTGACTAAGATATAATTCATCTGGTTGAAATGTTGGTTATCCGCGGAGTTCCACGTGACTAGATGTTTTCTACGATGCCGGAAGCAAGTATTAGTAATAAAAGTATAAAGTAATAAAATGTTCATGTTTCTCGGCATAACGAATAAGGCGTTGCCCATTGGCGCACCAATTACCGATGCCATATTTGCCAATTGTAGCGGTCATCGCAGCGGCAATGACTTACGCGCGCATTCCAGTCTCACCCGATTATGACCATCTCCTGTTTTGGTAGAGACTTTGTTAGCAGTTGAAGTTCCACATAGAACTTATCACGGTCAAATGCCGACAGAGTTGGAGCATAGACACTGATGACCGAGATATTGCAGAACTTATCCTTAAAACGGGTATAGCCCATACGGTCGTTTATTGGTTTCCACTGAATCAAAGCGGAATGGGCTTTGTCAGACATGACAATCGCTACGCCATTTCGCCCCGAGTTATCCGAAGTACCACAGTGATATAGCCAGCTCCTCTGCTCCGAGCCAGGATTAATCACGGCTAAAATCTTGCCAAGCGTGCAGAAATCTATTCCCCTTGATAGGTTTCGAGCAATTACCCTGGCTTGCGAGCACATTTTATTTATCAGCCTTGGGATTGGGATCGCTTTAAGTCCGGATAAAAAATATATGTATATGAATAATATATATATGAATAATATATATATGAATAATATATATATGAATAATATATATATGAATACATATATATATTATTTATAGTTTAACTGATTTGATTCATAATTTATTTAATTTAATTGATTTAATTTTAATTTATTTTATTTTAATCGTTGTTTGGTAAGAAAAAATTAAAAAGTTTAAGAGGATTGAATTGCGATCTGAAATGAAAAATTGATTCATAAAAATAAATCGAGAAATATTTTTGAAACGACCGCTTTGAAAAATTTTTGAAAAATTTCTTTGAAAAAAAGCCAAATTTTTTTCCGAATAAAGAGTCAACCGGTCAATGGATTGCTGCTTTTATTCCGAGTCCCTATAGAAGTAAATCCGTCCTTCAAAAAATGCGCGTGATTCTGGCGATTAACGTCTGCTTCTATAGTCAAGTTCCCTGACAGAATTTATCTGGTCTGGTAAACCGATGAAGCAACGCTAACCAGAAATGTTGAGCGCTCTTCGAAAAAAATGATAAAAATATTCTAATTTATTCTAAAAAATTTATTAAAAAATATAATTTATAAGGTTATTGACGAATGGAAGAAAAAAGGTGATGATCTCTCGGCGGAACTCGATGCTGCTCAACGCGAAGTTCGTAATTTATCAACTGAACTCTTTAAAATTAAAACAAATCAAGAAGAGCAGATAGAAACGGCTGAAGGACTTCGACGAGAAAACAAAGCGTTAAGCAGTGAAATTAAAGATCTTACTGATCAACTTGGTGAAGGTGGTCGATCTGCTCACGAAATGCAAAAAATTATACGGCGTTTAGAGATCGAAAAAGAAGAACTACAACATGGCCTCGACGAAGCTGAAGGTTTATTACTATTAAATTAAAAACTTTTCTGACGAAAAAACTTATATTATAAGCTAAATCAATATTTCATGTCTTGAGATAAGTAAAGATAGCAAAAGTGGAACCTGGATGATACTTGTAATCACCAAGTGGCCTGGCGTAAAAGTTGTACCCTAATAATTAGCCAGCCAAATCACAAATGGTGAATGGCCATTAGAAGAAAAAAAATTTATAATTTATATTAAGGTATATTTTGTAATGCCAATAAACTAAATTATTAAATAAAACTTCTTAATTTTCTGACTTTCGTTTTCAAAAATTTCTCTCACTGAACATCTTAGTAAAGCTATTTTTAAAGCCAAATTATTAAATCAACTAAACTGTATAAATCTTCAATTAACTAAGGAAATATATAAGCCATAAAAGTATATCCAAACGCTAAAATTGCGCTAAAAATCTTCATTCCGACTGCTAAAATTTTCCAAACAACCGAAAATTAGGTAATTCTTCTCATATCTACGGCGATTTTAAAGAATCATTGTTTGAGGGGCGCTGGAAGCTGAAGAGAGCAAAGTAATGCGAGCTCAGGTTGAAGTATCACAAATTCGATCAGAAATCGAAAAAAGAATTCAAGAAAAAGAAGAAGAATTTGAGAATACTCGAAGAAATCATCAACGAGCACTCGAATCGATGCAAGCGTCATTAGAAGCGGAATCAAAAAGTAAGAATGAACTTTTACGAGTAAAAAAGAAGCTCGAATCAGATATCAATGAACTCGAAATAGCTCTCGATCATGCAAATAAAGCTAACGCTGATGCACAGAAGAATCTTAAACGATGCATGGAACAAGTTCGCGAAATTCAACTTCAAGTTAGCGGAAATTTTTTTAAATGAATTAAATTATAAAGTAGTTGAAAAGGTCAAAAGATATAATATATTAATTTATGAGATGTAAGTCCATTGTGGCTTAGATTATTGCCATCGAGAATCGAGAATGGCTTAAATAGCACGCTTAGCGAGGCGGCATTACCAAACGGCGGAAGAAAAAAGCGACAGAATAGCTCAACTGTTACTCAGTTTGGAGCTCAGTTGCTGAAATCCTACGTCCGGTTCGTCCTTTAAAACCTATCCTTTAAAAACACCGATGCGATTTACCTGCACTTCCATCGTTTCAAATGATTCCATAAATGTAAAATTCGTCTAGTCTGCTAAGCAAGTGGAGTGAGCTTAACCAGCTATAACGAGTCCTATAAAAAAATTCTTAAAAATTTATTCTTTGAAGTCAAAATTAAATTTAAGATTGAAGAGGAACAGCGACAACGAGATGAGATGAAGGAGCAATATTTTAATGCTGAAAAACGAGTAAATCTGTTACAATCTGAGAAAGAGGAATTATCTGCATCCCTTGAACAAGTTGAAAGGCAACGAAAACAAGGTGAATTTGACGCAGCAGAAATGCGTGATCAGAGTAATGAACTCAATTTACAAGTTAGCAATCTGAATGCAAACAAGCGAAAAATTGAAGGCGAACTTCAGGTTTGCTGTTAAACTTATTGTATTCAAATTTAAGAGTTAACTTCCATAAATCCATGGTAACAATTTCTGGCTCTAGCCAATTAATCTGCGCCAAATAGAAATTAATAGCGAAAAATAGAATTAAATAGAAGTTTCCATTCAGCAGGTCGTATTCTTTAATAGACTGGTTAGCCTAAACACATTTATAGTGCTAATGAATGGCTCTTATAGGCGATTCATGCGGATATGGATGAGACACTGAACGAATATCGATCTTCTGAAGAACGAAGCAAGAGAGCCATGGCTGATGCAGCAAGATTAGCTGAAGAACTGAGACAAGAACAAGAACATGCGATGCACGTCGACCGATTATGTAAAGGTCTAGATATTCAAATCAAAGAAATGCAGGTGATTCTGCACCAGATTGTCAACATTATCAATATTATAAACACCAATATTATAAACATTTTTATTTTTTATCAATATTATAAACATTTTTATTTAAAAATCATTTTGCAAATAGGTTCGAGTTGATGAGGCGGAACAAGCAGCTTTAAAAGGTGGCAAAAAAGTAATTGCAAAACTTGAACAACGAATTCATGATCTTGAAGCGGAACTTGACAACGAGCAACGCCATTATCAAGAAGCAAACAAAAATGTCGTTAAGCAGGAACGACGCGTAAGAGAATTACAATTCCAAGTCGAAGAGGATAAAAAAAATTTCCAACGTATGCAAGACTTAGTGGAAAAATTCCAAGGAAAATTGAAAACACAAAAGAAACAACTCGAAGAAGCTGTGAGTCAATTTTCATTTATATTCAAATCAATAAATGGCAAAATAGCATTTTAACTTATAAATTACAGGAAGAACTTGCCAACCTTAATTTACAAAAATATCGCCAAATTCAACACCAACTTGAAGATGCGGAAGAACGAGCTGATACAGCTGAAAATTCCGTTTCAAAAATGCGTTCAATGACTCGCACATCACTTTCGTTGGCACCAAGTGGTGGCGTTCAAACGTCAAGATCCGCTACCGTGATGAGATCCGGATCACGCGTACCACGATCCGGTTCAGCCTTTCCCGACTATTAGTTTATTTCTTTTTTAGTTTTTCAGCGATCTTCTTAAAGAAAATTTATTCATAATAAATAATATAGAAAAAAAATTTTCGAATGAAGATAACTTTTGATTACCTCCGTTTAAAACAGATTATAGCCACTTTGTTACCGTTCAGAAAATTAGCAAATAAACTTGATCTTTATTTGATCTTTTTCTTATTTGAACTTAAAAATTCTGATACATATAATTCCCAGTGGTCACCTAATGGTACCTAATGGCATGGATTTTTTTCACTCTTAAATGTGTCACTTACTGCTGGAACTGACAATATCGCTTAACGTTTCAAATTTTCCCAAATTTTTTGTTCACTCAATATTTTGAATCAAAATAATTACATTGTAATTATCCATTAAAAGCGAAAAAATGAAATCCAACAAATCAATTTAATCTTTAAGTAATTCAAAAAGACAAAAAATCTACTATATTTTTGTCGGTAAAAAATATGAATGTGAAAAAATACGAAAAATTTATAAATCAATAAATATTTTTAAATTAAGAGAAACCTCATCAATGAAAGCACAAATAAAACAAGAAAAACAAAAAATTAACAACCATATCATATCATTCTTGATTAATGAAATGACAAATATTAAATATTCAAAACAAAAATCTTTCTTGAAATACTATAAGTAACTATAAAAATAGGTTGTCTGATAAGAATAACAAAACAATTATCAGATTATATTAATTTCAATTGATTTCAAATATCTTAACTTAATTTTGGGATAGTAATATTTTAAATCATAAGCAATTTGTTATTAGATAAATCATTTCATATCATTTTGGATCATTTGCCATTAAAATACAATTTTTTTCACCATATTGAATTTTTTTCACCATATTCGCCACATGCGTTATTAAAAAATGAAAATAAAATGAAATTTTTACAACCAAGCTTGTTTTAGGCTATGACTTTTACCTAGCTTCTTGCAAATAAAACTAGAAACTAACAATGAAATAAGAACTAAACTAATCAACACATGATCAAAATCATCCTTCAATATATCAAATGTTCCTGAAGGAGTCATTCGAGTGAAAAAGAGGTCAAGGCCATAAGCGAATATTAAACTTGTGGATTCCAAGCCTGATGGTCTAAAAATAATATAAATCTTCTATATAAAGGTTTCAAACGAAAGTTGAAACGAAAGAAATAAAAAGAACCGGGAAATACTAGCGATAATTTTTAAATACAAATTCATAAACTTACGCGGCTCGAATCGCTTTTATGTTGTAGATTGACTGGTTGTAATTGATGAATTCTTCTGATGCGATTGGTAGTTCAGGTCGATAAGGAATTAACATCTCTCTTGCCAATTCAGGAGTCATTTCAAGAGGCCTTCGAGCATCAACAATCCTCTTCGAAATTCCATAAATAGCGCCGAAGGGCATAGCGATCAACAAAGAGCGAGTGGACAAACCCTGCTCTGAAAGCTTAAAATCAGACTATGGTCAATTACATAAGTTAATTTTTTTTCAGGTGAAATCAGAATGGAAACCTTTTTTTTTCCTTTTTTCTATACCTCAACATCGAAAACATTTCTTAACAATTTTTTTGAAGCGATTTCGATGAATGCAAAATAAAAAATAGTAAAAAAAAGTTTTAGATATTCGAAATCAGTAATTTCTTTATTCGAAGATGGAAACTTTCTTGCTATAAAATATTTATTGGCCATTTTTTTACAGTATGATATAGTAGTTACTCTCAAATTTCGTGAATGATGTAGTGAGGGACTATAGGAGGGATTCTGTAGAGGGATTCAAAAATACTTGTTTTAATCACGACAAAAAGATAAAAATTGAGTTAGCAGAGACGACTGGATAAATGAAACGGATCAAACAAGATATTTAACAAAATTTTATATAGAAAAGATAAATTATATTGCATTAGATAATGTAGTCTCCATTTGTATTTTAACCAGGTTTAACGGTTAAGTTAAAGCCCAAATAAAAATAAAAAATCATGATTTCTTATTCGCACGATGAATTATTGGAATAAGCAAACTAACTAATTATTTAATCTCATCGACTACATCCAGTTTCTAGATAAAATTTTTCACTAGAATTTCACTAGAATTAAATTATCGTTCAATTTTTCTTTCAAATTATTAAATCAAATATTCATTTAAAAATTCTATTGGATAGGCTTACTATTCCAATTTCAGCTATTTTGAATCGCCTAATACAGGATGCGCTACCCAGATAAAAAGCTGATGGTTCACTTCCCCTCATTTTTCGTTTTTTTAGCATTACTCATTTATCAGTTATCAATAAAATTAATGTATAACCATTTCTACCTATTGTTATTTTTTACCATCGTCTCTTCATTACCATTGTTTCATTTTTTCTGGATAGCACTTAACCATTATTCAAAAGAAATAAAAATGAAAATTTAGACATCATTATGCGATAAGATTCATGTACCTGTTTCAGTAACACCTAAAGCCGAAATTCCCTGTGGAAATATATATGCTTGGGTAATTGCTTGTATCGCTGGAGATATTGTAGGTTTTAGCGAATCGAATTCCATTTCATCTGTTTGTTTAAAACCTTCGTAAAGTTCAATAATTGCAATTTCCACACGTCGACCTTTTTCATTCCAATAAGAATACGCTAACCAATTTTCACAATGAACCAAATTGATAGGACCCGCCACCTATAAATAACAAAAAGTAATATTATCTGATATAAACTTAACGCACATTAAATATGTGCCGAACAACCTCAAGCTTACACTGGTATATGAATAATTTCGAACTAACTTTAGATTGTTTTGCCGAATAAACAATGTAACCAGAAACTGCATCGACCAGATAAATCATCAAAGTTGATTGAAATGAATCTAAAACCGCTAATGCAACTAAATTTGGATTCGAGTACTTATACAATACCGATCGGTCATCAAGAACATGACCCGCACTATGTACTCGTTCTAAAAAAGGATAATGCAAGAAGATTATACAACAGTTATTTTCATTCAACCAGAAATCACTTTAAAAAAATGAAAACAAATAGAAATAAAATAGAAACATTTATAAACTAACGATGAAAAGGTTTAGCCGAAAATGCAATAATTTTCTGATTTTTGGTGAATGCAAGAGAAGACTTCCACAAAGAAATGAACTGTAGACTATTTAAGTCCAACATTGAACCCTCAAGATGACCTTCAGCATCGAATGAAAAAAAATAAGTAGCAACTGTGTGAGAAAAATTCGTAAGTTTTTCGGGATACGTGACAATCTATGAGAGGTATCAAAACAATTAATTAAAATTGCTAGAGGTAAAAAAAGCGAAACGTTTTTGCTCAAATTCTTAGATTTTAATGTGAAGATTATGAAATAATTAAACCATCTGAAAAAATTAAATTAAATATAAAAATAAATTTATGACGACTAAATTTGCCCAATATAAAATAATTTTGTAAACTTACCCGGTCATTTTCATCAATAATGATAAGAGGCTGGATAGCATTAGAATCAATAAACGGCAGAAGATGAACTCGCTTTATTTTTCGATTGAACTCAACACGATCGATGATAGCACCCACAACTGGGTTAAAAACAAGTAAACAAGAGCGAGAAGTAAACTATAAAATTAAATAGATGAACCAAATTGATAAAATAAATGTGATATATCGGAATCATATTCACTATTTCATAAGCATTATTCAAGAATTACTACGGCATCTTGGCAAAAGAACCACAATTCGAAAGCTACTTAACCAAATGACCCGAAACGAGACAGAATCCAGTTTTATTTTGTGCTCATCAAAATGAAAAACGAACTTCATTTATAAAAAACACAGAAGCGTGAGCAGGATATTGATAATGGGCGGCTGTTCTTTGTATGAAAAGAGGCATTGCCTTAGATCCTAAGTGACTAATAAAATACGAGGTCCCTTTGCCCAAATATATGTGCCAAATTATCGAGCCATCATTGCTATCCAAGCCTGCATAATTTAAATTTTCAAATAATAAATTAAGAAAATGTCCGCAAGAAAATAAATATTTATTTAATAAGAAAAGAAAGCAGTGAAAAAACACACCGTACCAAAAAGACTGGATTTGAGAGTTGAAACAACAATAATTTTTCTTAGATTGAAATAATCCCTTTCGAGAGGAATATTTTTATATACTTTCTTTGAAGGCTGGTCAGCCATTGATGAGCGGAGTGATGTAATCCAATCGATAAATGATTTTGATTCAGCTTTCTCAAAAAATAAGAATGCGGAAAAAAAATGACTAAATGCGCTCGAAATTATCCGTTTCAATTGCTCAGTCTGGCTTTTTATGCGGCGAAAAAACGATTCGAAGATATTGCCTAAAAATTTCGAATCAAGTTATTTATTATCATATTATTATCATATATTCAATAGCAGTCAATTCAGCTAAAAAGATTAGAAAAGAAAATAAAATTAATAGAAAAAGTGGTGCGAGATGCAAGAAAAAGAGAGTCAATTGGTAATAGAGATGAATCTATAAAATCACTAGAATATTTTTAATGGAATGCATATTTTTGATGACAGATGATAATTTTCATTTCTGTTGAAGAATAAAAATTTAAATAAGAACATTTTCCATCTCACCTGTTATTTTAAAATTTCTGGGATTCACTCTGCCATCCTTCTTCAAGAAATTTAATCAAAAAAATTTAATAAAAAATACTGCAAATTTAAGCTAAGAAATGGTGAAAAAAATAATAATCAAATAAGTGAATCGAGGCAAGAAAGTGGAGATCGATGCGAAGATTGCTCTATATCGAAAGACTCTAGTAGAAGGGAGAGCGCGAGCGCGACAGGATGGCAAATTAGAGATACTAGATACTAAATGAAAAGAAAACCTCCATTAATATTGAATTCGGATTCGATACCAATTTGAGCATCGGAAAATGGTAAATCAATTATCTCCACTGATGCTATTGCACTCAAAGCTTCATGACGACTCCATTCTGTGAAAATATTTGCACCAGAACCAACAGAAAAATCAATGCGACAATCATCACCAACTGTTAAAAATTCATAATCACGACTGGTTGCGAAAAATCTCATTTGCGTAATAGGTGCACGCTTGGAATCTTGAAACAGACCAGAGAAAATTCGCTTTCTATCCAGCAAATCATAAACATTGGTTTCTCCTGAACTACTCATTGCCGAAAGCAAAATGCGCCCATTAGTATTTATAGCAGAAAGTAACTCAGCCTAAAATAAACATTTAAAAAACATAAATCGAGCGGTTATTATTTAAATTATCGCTTCCTATGTCATGATGTCACCAATGTCTTTGATATAATAAACATGCCATTGAAAAACCGAGTGGGGATAGGGCCCTTCATCTTTATTTCTATTCTCACATGACCTTTATCAGAAATTTCTTATGGTAAATTGCATATAATAGTAGACTGGGCCCAAAGAGAAATGCCACTTATTTATTTACTTACGAATGTTCAGTTCAAATACAAAAATTTCACGAAAAAACGACTTTAATTTTGATCATTGAAACCGCTCAGATACTGAAATCAGCTAAACTTCCAAACCTTTAGTTTTTCGAACTAAACTAGTTGTCTTAATTGCGCTTATAAAATGGAATTTATTTATACATTATGAAAATTCTAAAAATAATTTAATAAAACTTAATACTTTGTTTATCGATAACTTTAGTTCTATAATTTTGGAAGGAAATATTTGATAAATGAGTGATTTATCAGCTGTCTGAACACCGAAGAAATTTTCGACATTCAATGCGAAGATTAATTCGATTTTATCGATAAATGTTATATTAAATGATGTAATCTCTGACATCAAATCAGCAATATAAAATCCTTTATCATCAAAACAAATCAGAAATGTTTGAAATAATAAACACCTAAAACCAAAATCAGGTTAAATGAAAGAATGAAAGAAGAAAATAAAATGTAACTTTTAAGTAGAAAAAAATTTATACTTTGAACTTTTCGTATGAAAATCGGATTTAATCGACCATATTTTCTGCACAAGTCCAGTAGAGCGATCAGATTTTGCAACTGATATTTCAAATGATTCGAGTATTGAAACAATTAGTACCGAATTGGATACATAATTACCACCAATAAACTTCCTAAACCATTTGACAAAAGATTTCAGCCAAAAATTTAAATTTCTAAATTTCTAAATTCAAATACCTGGAAGATTCCAATTCATTAGACCAAATTAATGAGCCTTTTGATAATGATAAAAGAAAAGCAGAATATTCAGTCAATAAAAATATATTATCATTTTCGATGATCAGCGATATAATTCTAAAAGGTATTGAAATCTTATGATCAAACTATTAATAAACCAATTCGATGAAAAAATGGTGAAAAGAAAGTAAAAATAGAAAAATAGAAATAGAACAGGACTTTAAACTATTTGGTACCAATTTTATTGTTACCTCTGAGAAACTGTACTGATTTTTCTTTCCCATAATAATGAACCGGAATCTGCTTCCCATGCTCGCAGTGTTCGACCATCATTTACAACGGAAACAAGCACTAAAATAAATTTTCCCGGAATTTAGCAGAAAAATTTTTCATTTTTTAAATTATTTTTTTATTATAAAGTATTAAATTCGGAAATATAAATGCAATAAAAAAGAATAGCTCAGTAAGTTACTGTTCTCATTTTGAAGAACTTTTCGCAAACAACTACTTGGAAAAAATTCATCTGGCTCGATGAATTAGTGAGTCTTGTTGGAAACGGCAAGCATTTCTTAAAAGTGAAAAAAAGTGAAAAAATTATTGAAATTCAATTTGTAAAACCTTTATTCTTCAGCGAAAATTTTGGTGGATATGTTGTATTTGGTTCTTGCAGTTGACGCCAAGCTTAAAAAAATCAAACATAAATAAGAGATAAACATTCAAACATCATAGAATTGCAAATAGAGTCACTATAAATATAGTGAAAGTATCCTTTTTAAGAGGACCAGATCTATACCAGTTTTAGAAAGTTCGAGCGGCGCTGGCGACTCACCAGTATTTCTAATGCCTCTCTGACAAAGAATTAGCCTGATAAACCAGCACTCTAATCGGCAATGGTTAACGCTTTTAGAAATACAACCATCATAAACCTATCACAAATCACAGAGGACAAGAAACTCTAATATAAAATAAAAAAAATGCAACAAACATCGAAAAACGATAAGGAAATAAATAAAGCAAACCTATGTCACCTGAAGTGGGTTTCAAAGCAGCTATAACATTAGATTCAGTTGAAACGTATATAAGATCAGAATTTCCAAATTTCAATCGTTCAATCTGATTTGGACATCCGACATATAAATGGCGCCTGAAAAAATGATAAACCAACGTTGATAAATAAGGAATCCATATGTAATTTATTTAAAGACTATAAAAGGTGCCATCAAATGTCGAATTTCCGATGCTCCCTGATTTTCTGGAAAATACAAAATACATAAATAAAATAAAAACTCAAAATTTCAAATTTCGAAAAAATGAATATAAAAGGTTGATGGTTCCAGTTATAGCGCGAAAGAATCTATTGAAACGGTTTCTTTTGGAAGAAATAAGAAAATTAACCAATCGAATTTTCCAACTTGATCTTCGTAAATCGCTTGAACATTAAAAATTAATAATATTGGCAATAAATAAACGACCATTCTGAAAATATTCTAAGATTTCAAATTTATGTAGGGCATTCACATACAAACACCCTCGATGAACGTCAAAAGTTTAATTTAATACAACCATTTAAGGAAACAAGCAAACCGATCCAGAATCTATAAAATTGGCATACCGTAATCAAGAAATCGTTTCAAGGTTCCAAGACTTAGGAATCTTAAAGCCCAATACCAAAGTTATAGCTATATAGCAAATGTAAAACTACCTTTTTCATTATTCCTTGTTTCATGTCGTTCATTCCATCGATTAAGCAGCTTATTTAAAGATTATATGGAAGGCTGTTCCCATCTTCAAGCAGGAATTTGAGGAAAAATTTTATGGTCTAATAAGTTATACGTTCATATCTTTCAATAGTTGTACAGCTGTCAGCTGGAATCTCTTCATTCTTGGGGATAGAGAAATGGAGAGATAGGTAGATTACCAGCACCATTCAAAATATCGTCGTATAGCTGCGTATAATTTTATGGTAAATGGTGACATTGAAATTCTAATCTTTTTATAACTCGTAAACTATACAAACTTATCACTAAATTGTACGAACTCGCGTTACCTTCTGAGAAAATTGCGTGGTCCAAACGTGGATCAGAAGCATTTAAGCATAATTGGTTGCGAAAACCAGAATGGATCTTCATGAACTGCTTAGGTTATGTCATTTAATTGTCTGCCTACTTTTACTCAAATTACTATTGTTTCGTCTTTCTTAAGACCAAAAACTCTTCGAATCGTCCTTATGTAGCTGAATTAAATCAACACAACTATTTATTAATATTTTTCTTTCGTTTTCCTTAAAATACTTGAAAAGTTCCAGGAAACAAATGCCTTAGGCTGTTAACCCTATAACTGCGGCTGCATCAATAAGCGACAACGAAGATTTCGTCGTGAGTTGGGTCAGCAATCTATCTGATGTCAATAATTTCGAAAACGTATTACATCAATCAAGCAAAATTTAGCAAAATTTATTTTGACCGCTTAACGGCAGTCAATTCCGCGGAAGTATTCTTCGGCTAATGTTCCATCATGAAAGAAGGGACAGCGAGGCTATAATTAGACGCTAGTAATTTGGTGTCCTAAATCCATAATTTTTTAATTTGGTGAATAATTCAAGTACACCACATAATATATTTAAAAAATTTCGAACGAGTTTGTAATCGCATAATGATAAGATTTTATAAATAATATATAATTCGCAAGATCCTTTTTTCCAAATCTAATACCAAACGATAAGCGGCAAAAATCTATGTTTCATTCTCCATAATTTTTTAAGTAATAATATGAAAATAAATATTTTTTCATAAGTAAAAAATGCCTTTACACATTGTTTATACTAATCTGTGTTTTAATATTATTAATATTATATTGCCTATTTAAAATTATAAAATTTATTTTTCTATTTTCAGGGATTATTATTATTATTATTTTTGAGGGATTTAAGAAATTATATTCAAAAGATTAACAGCTGTTTATTGTATTGAAAAATGTATTAAATAAAATTGTTTAAAATTATTTAAAAAGTGTTACTTAAATCACTAATTATTCTAAAAATTTTTAAATTTTTAAAAATATTTCTATTAGATTTTGTCTATTTACTAAACTATTTTAAAAATTCATTATTTATTTCAAAAATTATTTATTTTTCATTTGATTAATTATTTTTCTGAAATCTTATAAATCTATTGTTTTTGAGCTTTTCCAAATGTTTTGTTAAGATATTAGAATTCTTTGTTAGAACATCTCAAACAATAAGTTTTATTTCAAGTTTATTTTCCCTTCCTTAAATTTAATTTTTAATTCTTTTAACTTTTCAATTTTACTGCTTTATCCACGTCTTTGATGGGAGTAAATTTGTTATACAAAAATTTGAGTGGCTGATGCGAACCTACCCGTAATTCTATTTCCAAGTGACACGGTGGTAAAAGGGTCTGATTTTTTTGACGTTAGCGTACGTTGGTGCATAATATTCCCAGCCCGGTGGCACATGCGATAAGTATATAAACCATGTGTATAACGATCCCAAGGTTTGTGAATAATATGTACCCGCGAGCCGTGATAATTGATTAAGAACTCACAAAAAACAGTTTCCACCATGATCTTTCAACTATTTCAAACTAAAAGATTCGGAGACGGCAAACACATGTAAAATCAAATTATTGAAGCCGATTTTTCTGGAAAAATATACGAATGCTGGACGTGACCAAAGGAATAAAACTCCGAAACTCAACCATTTCCAAGCTAGGACATGTAACGATAGCAATACGGCAAAACAGAAATCGCTATTGGACAATGGCTTGATAATAAGAATAGCACGAGATAGCTGTGGTATATCCGTTAAGAGTATTAAGGATTACTCATAAGGTAGAAAGAATTCTTTGAGGTCAAACTTAACCATGATGCACTGTTGTTGCGGACAAAGCTGAATCGCTCGTCGCTCAATATGCTTGCACTTGCGAACCACCAGAAAAACTGGAAGTAATTTCTGTGATCCAGAATTGACGAAACTCCGGGAGATGGTCTCCAGGCTGAACTCTTCAGGTGCTGTTATACACCTTCAACAAATATACTGTCTGGTATGGAAGAAAAAAATAATACCAGCTGGTTGGAGCGAAACAGTTCTACTCCCATTTCTCAAGAAAGATGACTGGACATATTGTGACAATTATTGAGGAAGAATTACAATTGCCAGCTCATTAGATATGTCCAAGAAAATTTTTGGTCTCTTTTATTGATTAGACTTATGGCAATACGAGATAACAGGATGCGCCCTAATCAAGCTAGATTTAGACCAGAACACTGTTTCCAGCTATTCACGTTAAGAAGGGTGTTATAAATTGTTTCACATATCTATAATCTATCTTTATGCATTTCAAGGAGTTTACAGCTATCTTCGATTCAACTGATAGGGCAGCGGCCTGAAGGTTGATGGAATGACCGGTGTTCATTCGACTAATGAGGGAATTTTATCATACATAGCATACATTGGCACAGATCTGACCATATGGGAATTGAATAGACTCTTTCTTCGAAATAAAAACTGTGCTCGTCAAGGCTGCATCCTTTCCCCTATAATATTCAACTGTAAACTGGATAAACTGGATACAAATTGGATAATCGCTTTTTGGCACTCAAGAGACATATGAATCAATCCAG